TCTTTGCCCGATCATCAACCCCCAATAAACCACTAATTTGTATTAGTCTTGGATCCTCCTCTGTCCCTAGATCAATAACTTCCAGAGGATCTTGGACTTCTGGTGGTGGCTTATCCGGTTCTGCACACAAAAATTCGACTAGCTCTAGGCTTTCGGGCAAGTCGTATAGCCCATCTAGGTCATAAATGCATTCGGCCATTTGAATGGCCCTTTCCAATTCTTCTCTGCAAGATTCCTCCTTGCTTTCATGCTGGCTGGTTGAAGCTTCCACCTGCCTTTCCTGCTCTTCTTTGTCCAAAAGCTTATTTTCTTGCCTTCTTCCCTTCCCATATACCAACAGTCTTTTAATCAGGGATCTGACTGCCATTACCTGATCTTTCTTCTTTTGTTCAGTCATTGATGATGTAGGGGATTTGGGATGATACAAGGTCTATCCCATTCCTATCTAGTAAGGAGCATTCCTTGTTCCAAAAGCTTTTGGGCCGTCACCTTGGTAGGGCAGCCGTTCTCATCAGCTCCTGAACATTTCAAGATTCCTATGTTGGGGTTGTAGAAACTTGCTTCCGCAACATTAGCTGTGGGGAGAAATGGCCGTGATTCGGCCTCTACCATCTCCCAAAAGCCTGGTCCTTCTGTGCCCGCTTCATGATAAACAGTCATTTGTTGATGAAGAGTGGAGGGTATGGCTAGACTTTGATGGATCCAATCTCTTCCGAGTAAGGCTCCATAAGTGGAGGTGCAGTCCACCACAAAGAATGCCAGCATGATCTGTTTAGATCCCAAATCCACTTCTAAAGGCAATATCCCATGAGTTTTGGTGATAGCGCCCGAGAAGCTAAAGACCGTGAGGTCTGTAGGAATAAGATCCTCCGTGCCTCTTCCCATTTTCCTCATTTGCTTGGCTGGTAACACATTAACAGTTGCTCCCCCATCAATTAAAATTCTTTTGAAGGGCACCCCTTCCAAATGAGCTGTAACGTATATGGGCTTCAGATGATTGGCCAACGAGATGTTCGGGCGGCTAAACACCATTTTGTCTGTATAAATCCTGAAAGGACCATCTTTGGACGCTTCAGCGGATTCAGCCTTGCCCGATTCTCCTTCTTCGACTACCTCCACATTGACATGTGCCATCATTGGCTCAGTTGTCAAGTAATCACCCTCCATAGTAGCGGGCTGATCAGGTCTGGCACCAAACATGGCAGATAATACATACGCCATGTTGATATGAAAATTACTAGGCTCGGGCAAATCTTCTTTCTTGCTCTCAATCTGGTCCATGAATTCATCCAACCAAGCCATCGCATCTGCTGGAAGTAGTGGTTCCAGTGCCCTTTCTTGTCGATCCATGCCCGTATACAGCGTTTGCTTTGGAACTTCACCAAAAGGATCTACCAATGGTAGAGAAGGTGGTCTCCTTTTAGATGAAACAGTTCCATCCGGCTTCCATCCGGGAGTTGGTACCATGATTAGATCTTCTTGAGCCCGCCTCAAGATCCTATACTTCTCAGGGTGCTGGTTCTGCGGCACGCGATTCCCCTCGCCTTCTGTCTTGCTACTGGCCTTTTCCACCTCTTTCTTACTTCTCCAGCGGAGCTGACTACTTCCCCCAGATGATGTCTTCTCCAATTTTTGATTTTGGGAGGCTTCAGATGTTGCGGGGGTCTTCAGGGAATTCATGTAGGCTTTGTGCTGCCTTTGAACTCTCCTAACCATGGAGGCTCCCATTTGTTTGGTAGGCTGTCCATTCTTTCCGACTACGTACCATTTTCGCCCGAGGTGGGTATGATTTCCTTTTCTAACAGGATTTGTTATCCCATAAATCCTCTTGATTTCCTTCCCCATATGGCCATATTGAGGATGATCTGCATCCCTCCGTGTTTTGGCCTCCATATCTTCTGCCTCTTCAGAAGCTTCATGGTTTCGAAATACTTCTGATAAAGCTTTGGGTTGGGAATCACCTCCTAATCATTGAAAAACGCTTCGGGAAGTGTCTTTTCTTTTTGCCTGCTTGATCTTTTCGTGAGCTTCTCTCCTTTCATCTTCTTCTTTCCTCCTGATCAGTTCATGATCAATGAAGATTCCAGCAGGGGGAATTTCAAGCTCACACTCGCATTGGCACTTACTACACATAACCATCCCTTTGATTATGGCTGCTTTTGGATATTCGGGCAATTTGATTACACTTCCTGTAGGTTTTTTAACCAGTCTTCCTTCCTCCACTTCCCTTGTGATTTTTTCTTTTCCCTTCTCAGCCCATGCCATACTGATCATATTTATAGGGGCATCTGAGAAGGGAATTGCAGGTTTGTCCACCACCACCTCTTCTGGCTGGTTGGTTTTAAGTCTCTTTCCCTCGGGATGAACCAAGTCTGTTTCTTTTCTGGAGCCTGTGGAGGCTTTCTCCAATCTTTGCAACATCTGCAGCAACGTGGTTTGCAAATCTTCTAGCATTTTTGACATATATCTTCTGATCAAATGTATCCCACCGGGTGTGCCAAAACTATGTTCACGTCAGGAATTTTCGTCGGGGACTTTTCCTGGCCGACGAGTACACAGCTCCCCGGCAGGTTGGCGCCGGTTGAGGGCTGCTGTCGGGCTTCTGCTTCACTGTCGGGCTTTGTCGGGCAAGGCTCGTCAGGCAAGACTTATCGGGCAAGACTCGTCAGGCAAGGCTTGTCGGGCAAGACTCGTCAGGCAAGGCTTGTCGGGCAAGACTCGTCAGGCAAGGCTTGTCGGGCAAGCCTGGTCGTCTTGCAGGTCCCTATCTTTATGGCTTATCAAGGGTCTGAGAGCTTTAGAGAGAGGTAAGGAGAGGAGTTTATAAAGAGAAATCGATACTACAGCAAGGTTGAACAGGGTAGCAGAGCTATTACAAAGGTTTGAGTGAAGGCTTGTCCCGAGAGGGATGAAGGCTTGAGCTGACTACAGCTTCGTTTTGAAGGCAAATCTGGCTTTGAGCAGAGTTTGTGCTTGCATTTGTTTGTTTGATTGAGTGTCCTTATTCCTGATTTTTCTTTCTTCTTTTATAGACAACTCAGTTTGGCCTCTTGTGGCAGCAGCCTTGCCCGAATGCAACTTGAGAGGCAGTGACTTGTCAGCTATTTTACTTGTTTTGCCATTATAAAGTACTTTATGGGCTATATAACTGGTCAGTCTATACCACTTGGCCTTTGGGTAGGTGAGCAAGTGGTCTTCATGAGCTGCACCAAGTCAGAAAAGCCCTTTTCTGCTTTCTGGGTTTTGGCGGGGCTTAGGCCGACTCTTCCTTTAGGCATCCTTTTGGGCCAGCCCCTTTCCTGAGCTCAAAGTTCAAGTTTTGATCCAAACAGTACCATTTGTGTCTCGATAGATTGAAAATCGTCCAGTGTATTAAGGTAAAAAAAATAAAAAAATATTGAAATTTAGATGTCAAGATTTTTGAAATTATTATTTACGGACTTGGAAAATTTTAATACGTACAAATGGAAGTTCTACTCTATACCTTTAGTGTTAATAAAACTTAAACTTAAGACTTTTCAACAAAAGAATAAGTTATCGTGAGTATTCTTCCCCATATTTGACGAGGTCTCAAGTTCAAATTTCTCTCTTATACTAGTAAAAAAAAATAAAAATAGAAAACTTACTATGAGAGTGTTGAGAGTGAATCCCGCATCGAGGAAAGAGAGAGTCTTACATGTGCTTATAAAAAGTTGCCCTACTGCCCATACTGCAAATATATTTTATGATTAAACATCAACTTTCTTCATGGTATCAGAGCAGATTGTCCCACGACTGAAACCTAGCAGTCAAACGTGCTTCACGTCACCCCGTTTGTGTTTTTCATGTGTTAGGCTTTAAAATTTCACCATACGTGAGGGGGAGAGTTGAGAGTGAATCCCAAATCGGGAAAAGAATGGACTTGCATGTGCTTATAAGTATTATTGCTAATTGCTTTTATGATGGAACCTCAACTTTCTTCAGAGAACTCGGAATTAGAAAAACCATAAAATTAACTATATCTACAAGTAATCCCTGATCATGTTCTATTAAAAGGAAAGTGTATGATTTAACAAATAGGGCTACGACTTATGTATAATACATATACATATATGATTCACAATAGTTGAGGACAATTAACAAAGGAACAATATTATTCCATTATCAGCCAAATAAGTGTGTGTGTATATGTTGCAGTCATTTTTAGAATAGGAATGTGATTGTGTAAATCCTAGTGGATCTAGGAATATCTCTTATATTCCTATTAGGAGTTGATTACCTATTAAGAGTTATAATCCTAAAAGTGTAAGGATTTTACCTATCCTACTACTATAAATAAAGACACAATGGAAGTGATACAACACACACCTCACAATTAAATCTCTCTCTTCTCTCTTGCTACCACCGGCCCCCTCCCTCTCTATTCCCTTAGAATAGCCCAGTCAAATACGCCTAGAACAATATATATATATATATATATATATATATATATATATATCCACTTTTTAGTCGGAAATACACATAAGATGGACAAGACAATGTGTTTTTACAGCTCTTGTCGCCATTGAAGACATGAAGAAAAGTATAAGGGAAAGCAGCCACATTGTGATTCCCTGCATGCTAGAGCCGAGCCAGTTATGGCCAAAACGTCAAAGCACTAACTTTATTGTCATGGAGGGTTCGGAGGTACTTTCTGCCACATGGAATTCAACCCATGTGATTGGAATGAAGAGAAGTACTAGTAGTCTAGTACTTTTTTACCATGTAAAAATTTTAACAAAGAATCATAAAGTTGCTCAAACGGCACCTGCAGATCAGACTAGTCAATGAAATATGTATGGTATCCCAATTGAACTCACTGCAGGTGCGCAAGACCACATTGTTCTATGTTCAAGACTTCAAGTTCCTACGTTAATTAAACTCAACAATCAACACTGTCCACAAGTAATTCAAATTTGAACTGGGAAAGAAATTGAAGCTTATAATCCATAAATCAAAAAATTGAGAAATAGATTGTCGGTCCCCCTGTAATTTATTTGCTTAGTGGTACAGTTAAAGGTCATGCAGGTATTGTGTTCCACTAGCACCCAGTTGAATCATCATTCATGAATTACCAAAAAACAATTAAGAAAGACAGAAGTATGACTGAAAAGGAAAGAAATCCTACTGAATTCAGACACCAAATTAATTTACAACCCTCTAACCCTAATTACCATGCATGTACATTGGTGTTATTTGAGGCCCAATAAGGTCGACTCTGCAAAAACAGTAGGAAGACCTGGTGGTACTGTGACTGCTTGTGGGCAGCTGGTTTCATAGCCTGCAACCATTTGAGTACTATAAACCAGGGAATTTATGTCTCCCCAACTAATTTCACTCTCTGCAGAAGCAGTACTAGTCCCTGCAGTGCTACCATTGTTCAACGTCTCCGTGGTGGCTTGATAATAAAAACCACCCAATTGCTGATGTTGGTGAGCAAAATTGTTGTCGTAAATCTCCAGTTCACTTAGCGGGTGAAGATGATCAACCTGTAGGTTGTTGTTCTGATCGTTGAGCCCGTGAAACATGGTTGGACTACTTGAACCCCCAGTACCGTTACTAGCATCACAGTGTGTGCCTGGAAATTGAGAATAGTTATTGTTGTTGGCTGCTGAAGTACAACTGAGTACATTAATGGAGCTCTGATAAAATTGTTGATCTGAGGATGAGGTTGACAAAATATCGATGGGGTACTGAAAACTTGTATTGTTAGTGTCAGAATCATGGGAAAATCTTCCTCCAAGATTGATGAGCATATTCTTAATGGAAGCCTGATCCTTGATGAGTTGAGGGTTATGTGTTTGATAATTAGTCACTGGGACTACTGGTAGCTCTGGCAAGTCATAAGGGTTTTGGTTGTCAAACCCAGCAGGGATATTAATAAAATTTGCAATATTTTCTGATCTTTTGATCATCCCTTGCTTAAAGCTGGCCGTGCGGCGACTTTGCTGAACCTGTTGTTGTTTGCGCTGCCTGCCCAAAAGCTTTTTCTTCAGCCTTGTGTTCCAGTAGTTCTTAATATCGTTGTCCGTTCGCCCTGGTAACTGGCCTGCAATGATAGACCACCTATCCAAAAAGAAAACAAAAAGTACTACTTAAATTCCATAACATGATTAACTTCCAATTTCAAAGAGCATGATAAAGAAAATTAAGAGAGAGATATATAATATGTATGGCCTTGAAAATGTTAATATATACCTGCTTCCAATACTCATGTAGAAGCTGCAGATGATGTTATCTTCTTCCTCTGAGAACCCGCCGTGCTTGATATTAGGCCGGAGATAATTCAACCATCTAAGTCGACAGCTTTTGCCGCACCTTCTTAAGCCTGTTGATCATGAGAAGTAGTACAATAATATTAGATTAAAAAAATATAGGTTAATTAGATCATGATCAATAATTTTGTTAATAACTGGGGTGAGGAGAATTTGAAGTGATTGGCTCCTGACCTATCTTCTGGGGCAAGGCAATCCAGTTGCCGCCGGTGCCGTGCTTCTCGATGTAAGCCTTGAGGGTGGCATCTTCTTCTGGTGACCAAGGGCCTTTCTTGACGTTGGCTTTGTCACAGCAAGGAGCTCTCCCCATGGCTTTTACTTTAACTTGGCTTTTTTTCTTATTGTGTGGGTTATGTTGTGATGAGCCTGGTTTCACTATATATATATATGTGTGTGTGTGTAAGCTAGCTCCCCTTTATGATCACCGCTTGATGAAAATTTGATAAAGTTTATGATAATGTTAATAAAATATATCGGAGAGTATAATGGCTGGAGAGCTGGGGAGAGGGCTGAGGACATGGAAAGGGTCACAGAAATTCGAAAAGGTGAATTTAAAAAAAGGATGAGCCTTTAGAATATTAGAGAAATTGGAAATGCCAGAACAGGAGACCAGGGTTTTATCTCATTGTCTTTCTTTCTTCAGAATCTCTCTCTCCCTCTCTCTAAGAAACATAATAAAGTGGATGATGATGATGATCAAGAAATAAGTGACGCAACTAGAAGCTTTAAAGAGTTGAAGCAAACAAAGCAACATCAGCTTGGTTTGAACTCTTCCACTAGTTTATGACCGTGAATGATTCCTCAAGCCTTTAATAAGAACGGTTCATCCATGCAGCCATTGTCATGATCTTGATATGTAACATAAGGGACTAGTCATTTCTTGACAATCTAACTTAAAAATAGGACATATCAATTATGTCACACACTTATTCGATAAAATGTGAAATGAGAAAACTACATATATGACAGTTCCAATACACATTAAAACAATAATCCCTAGTTAGGATCTTTTTTAAGCATGAGTTAAGGTATTTTTTGTATATATAAATTTGTGTTTTAAAGATAAAAAGGGTTTACCCATGTAAGCATGGTTTAAATATATATATGGTTAAATGACCATTTCAAGTCTTAATCTTCTTTATATCTTTTTCTTTTCTTTTCATTTCTCTGGTTTTGGAGTAGTCGGGGTTGGTTTTCGACGAAAATACCAAGAGGGTCATGAGGTATTAATTAGGGGCAATTTCTTGTGAAGGAACACACCACAATGTCAGACCTCCATAGTGGATGAAGCAATAACAGTCCCTATATACTTTTCTAAAAGAAAATTTAGTCCTCCATCTAAAATGGGAACAAACAACTAAAATATATTTTATTTACTTGGCAAGGGCAAACTCTTTCTCAATTATTATGTATTCGGTTCACCTGATAACATAGAAGGTAAAGAAAAGGGATGAATATTGTAATATGATAAAGCGGAAGTTACATGACATTCTCAATTGGAGTACCGGTGGCGGCTTTTTATTTTTATTTTTATTTTTTTTAACGATAGAGAGATATTGGGTACATTGCTCTAATGACCAATAAAATGATATAGAAATAGTTTTTATAGATAAACAAACAAGAGTAAACCCCTAAATGGCAACAACAAGCACAAACGCACAATTGCCATCAATATTGATCTGTCACAATAAACGATAGACACAACAAAGTTATACTAGCAGTCATATCAGTCATCGTTGAATAGCGAGGCCACATAAAGTCATCACAATAGAGCAATACCACATCAAATTTCGTTGACAGACGAGACCACATAACTCATCACTCAAAGATGAAGATGAACCTAGCGATCACAACATCATGACCACAATGATCGAATGGTAAGACAAAACATAACTACACTACCCTGAGAAGGGAATCACTGACGAGCTCATCTCAGTGGACAACAAGAACACTCATGCCAAGGCCACCTCCAATTGCACTGCTTTAGTGAGATTCCGACTTTCACATGTCAAGCACCCTAAGATCTGACACAATAGTCAAATCTGACGGCAGCAAAGCCGCCAAATCCAATGGCACCATATGGTGGAGCTGCCAGATCATAAAAACGCACAAGGTAGCAGAGCCACAAAAATGGAACGCACAAAGCACCAGAGCCGCCTGATCTTAGCGCATTAGTCGGTGCATCCACAAAATGAATCGAGGAAAGTGTCACCACTATGGAAAATGAGCTAACGACGGTAGATCCGACCTATCTACAGCCACAAATCCAACCCAGACCATGAAATCGAGAGCCAACTCAAAGAACCTTGAGAGAGCATGACCTGGATCTAGGTATGAGATTGAAATCCATGACAAAACCACCACAAAATGGTGGGAGAGAAATACGTGAGGGAGAGAGGAGGTACGTGCAGGCCGAGAAAGGTTGGGTGGTGCGAGGTTAGAGGGCAGAATCACGAATGGGAAAGGAGGGGAGAGAAGGCTGGGATGTGGAGAAGGGTACGAGAGAAGGGGATAAAGGGATAGGAGGAGAAAGGGAGAAGTTGTCACCGGTTCTTAGCCATAGCTAGAGGCTGACGGCTATGGAGGTAGCAGGCTAGGGTAGAACAAGTGGAGAATTCTTTCTTGCCTAAAATTATATATGGACACTCATTTCTAACTTTTACATCTTGTATATAATGTTTTCTTGTTATACTTACACGTTACCAACATATAAATACTTATGATTCTAGACCATAAGTCCGTAAGTATGGACAACGCATGTATGAAAAACTATGTGTGAACGGTAATTTAAATTTACATTCTCAAATTTGACAAGAAAATATTTTTCAAACTATTTAGCTAGTCACATAATGCATATTTGGGACACGTACATATTATTGCATCAATTATTGTGACTACATTTTAAAAAAATAGATCAACTGAAACGTGTTGCTAATGTTGTAAAAAATGTGATAATCTTTTCTCATAAACGTTGAAGTATTAAGAGGTTAAGAAATGAATATGTATTATACTCGATCATTTTTGCATTACATAATATATATTTTGAAAGATTGAGAAGTCAGGAAGCGCCAACAGATATTACTGTTGTGTGGAATATAATGGGAGGTTTTTCGTTATGGTAGGTGAATGAATCACTAGAAGAACCATGAGATTAAATCAGAAACTGTGATGTGAAGGTGAGATATGACCAAGGGATTACATATCTGTCGTGGGACAACATTGCTTTCAAAGATTTCAAGAACTTCTCGCACACACCACATACAACAAATTTGGCACCAATAATGGGTAGCTTTTTATAGATAACAAATTATAGATAACAAAACAAGATATAACAAGGATTTGATTAATTAATTAATTGAACACCATGGACCATTGTAATTTATAAAGCAACCAATTACGCTAATGACACATGCCATTTTTGAACCCAATTGGCAAAAATATATCAAAGACTTTAAGAGACAAGTGTACTTGTTTATATTAGCAGCCAGTCACACATACAGGAATCCCATTGTCAATTCCATTATATCACATCTTAGACCTTCTTGCATGTCGTTTATCGGTCTGATTATAATTTTATTGTGGAGTTTTTTTTTCATACAACAATTAAAGGGATTTGGACTAAGTCATATGGTGAATCAAATATAACGATTTAGTTTTGACTAACTAATCATATGAATCGAACTTAAAATTTCTAACTTTTAAATAGAAATGAATACAACAAGATCATAATATTAAGTTAGAATTCATCATGCTGTAGGCATTGAAATTGAGTTATTTTATCAAATCTCTGGGCTTTTAGTGTCAAGATTTGTTTTCCAGAAACTTGCACCTAAGTTTTTGGATTATCGGTCTTGTGACCATTCTAGTTTATCGTTCATATTTTAATTTTCTTTTTGTATCTAGGGTTTGCTTAGACTATATAAACAACTTTTAAGGTTGTATTGACATTTATTCATATTATTATCCATTAAACTTTAGATTTTTCACTATTTTATCGTGGATTCCGGATTGCTAACGTGTTTCAGCTTATGTTCTAGGATTTAACGATGATCGATTACCTATCCCATTTCTTGTTGCGTCACATTTTAGATTTTTTTTTTAATTATTATCACGCTTGATATTCTTTACTAATTTACACTAGAAGAGGAAATGGCTTGAACTTAAAATATGGTGACTTAGAAAGAAAAACTTTAACCATCAAAGCAGTCATTCACTATGTCTTTAGATTATAAAATTATTCTGTAATTTCTGCATGAGAGGCCCAACTTAATTATTGAAGGGAAAGAACATAGGTCGTACCCAGTGCACAAGGCTCCCGCTTTACGCAGAGTCTGGGAGAGGTAAATGTCGGCTAGCCTTACCCCCATTTTATGGAGAGGCTGCTCCCAAGTCTCGAACCCGAGACCTACCGCTCATGGGCGAAGGCACTTGCCATCGCACCAAGTGCGACCTCTAAGGGAAAGAACATAGAAAAACAGAAAATGGATACCAAGGAAGAAAATATTGGCTGACTTGACTCAGTATGAAAGGGTAAAAGTCAAAGGTGGGCTTATACAAAATGGTTGTTGATTTTTAACAATGCTTAGATTTGCCTTGATTTTCTTTTTTATTGTGCTTTGTTGTCGCATATACATGTGGTATCAACAAGTACACGAAATTTTTTGAAAGAAAAATAAAAGTATATAAAGTTTATAATGAAAGAAAAGGGTACCTAGTAGTAAAGTATGGTTGAAGGAAAGTAATATTTTTAATTAAAATGAAGGAAACGGTCTTCTTGGTAGGCCAAGTAAACTGACCCTCTCTCTCCCTCTTTCTCTCTCATGGTTTTTTCTTATTTAATCTTTTGATAACTTCTTTTTTCTGTGTGTGATCGTAGATCTACTTAGTGTGAAGGGGTTATTTTGACAGGGTTCAAAGCGCAATACAGCTCAAGGCCACTTCCTTCTCGAGGCATTTTTCTAACCAAACCAATGGAATACAGCACAAGTACATTTGACAAATGGAAACAAAACTGTTCTTCATGTGTCATGTGTGAGCTAACTTTTATGAATTGCTGCTATTCTAATTGTGACATTATTTTGTATGATTAGATTAATCCATTATTCACTTTGGGTTGGTGAACAAGGAGGTGCACTCATGCAAGAATACAAGTATTGTTGGAAAAGATAATTAGTCAGCCTTTTTTGCTTATTATTATTTTTGGGATATATAGCTTTTTAAGAAATTTATAAAGTTATTTGTTTGGTTAGTTAAGGAATATTCGTAATTTTGTAGTTTGTTTACTCGTCTGTTCCACATACGTACTCTAATTTTCAACTAGAATTGCTTTAAAGACGCCTCGTTTTCTCCTTGGACAACTGAAGGGGATTTTGATTTGCGGTTTAATATTGCTTTGAAATTGTTATTTGTGGCATCATTTTGACATTAACCAAACTTTTGCTTCCAATGCAGGTGAATGCATAGAAGGCTCCCACCATTGGACTTTGCAGTGAGAGCGAGAATTATATGTAGGAGAATGTCAGTTTAGTCTGAGAAGAAAATCTATAATAAACACGGTTTTTTTCCTCGTCTAATTTGTTTCTAGAAGTACTGTTATTGAAGTCCACTGAAAAGGATCAGGATCCTCTCCTGAGTTTAG